AAGTCAAACTCTGTGTGATATAACACGCTGCATTGAAAAATAATCAAGCTTATTTGTTGCATGCAGAAACTACCAAAAGTCACCTTAACAACCGTATTTGTCAGCATTGTGGCGTGAAAACCACGGTGACCCCCTCTTTTTATTACGTTTTTAATATCTCCTTGTCCTGTAACAACAGCTTACCAAGTTTCATCAGAAATCTATGGCGTGTTCTTTCACTAGGGAATCACCTCTAGATCCATTATCAAGCTCAACCATAGCCTGTGAGCAGGCTCACGTTGGAGCACAAGCACACGGCGTAGCTGCAAGTGCAAAATCGAGCGGTAAAGCCGCGAGACGAGAAAGTGAGCCTGCTCTGATCTCCGCAAATGTTTCATTTCCACCCCGGAAACCACAGAAAAGAATAAGTCAATTAATTTTCACTAGAAATATGAACTTTGGCAGCTCAGATTACTCTGGAAAAATTGTAAATCTTTTTCATAACAACATGTAGGCCCGATATCCCTTGTTGATAAAGCTAAGTTTTGCTGAAGAAAAACTGTCAAAGTTTATGTCTACTAAGGACACACACTTGATCAGTTCCAAGTGATCTTGCTTTGGCAATCAGGTCTTTGATGATGCTGGTACACGGGCAAACGCCTTCATGTTGTTTTGTTGCCCGCTTGCGATCACATATGTTTGTAATATTTAACTCATCCCATATGCAGTCAGCAACACGACAAGTACATCTCGATTTGTTAACATACTTTCAACTGCTATTTCCTGCTCCCTCTTCAGTTAAAATTTAACCAGAAATAGACGGAGCTTTGTTAAAACATCAGTAATATGCGCACTTCAGCTCTTCCTCTGACTCCAAATGTGGACGACTTGTTTTTATTGTGCGGTAAATTACCGACTCCATGGGCATTTAATCGCTCCTCATCAAACATAATAGATGGACAGTTTTCTCGCCTTTCCTGCTTTTCAACCAATGGCATTTCACTTCGTTCAGACGAAGCAGAAATGAAAAAATTACAGAGACCAGTGAAGGCTCACTTTCTTGGCGCCTCTTCACCAGACTCCTTCCCGCCGGATCGCTTTGCTCTTTGCCACTCGCGCATGTGACTCAAAGGTGAGCCTGCTCGCAGGCTAGCTCAACCACTTTTCTGGGCTGATGCCCTTAAAAATTACCTCCATGCAATCTTTGTTTTCTAGTGGAGTTTTGGCCAGTGAAATTAGCCACTGCTCTTAGCTTTGCTAGATATTATTGTCCCTGCATACATAAATGTTTTCTAATGTAAATATGATCTGAATCAAGTTGCCAGCTTGCATTTACCAGGACATAGGAATATTGCTTGTTTGATCAAGAAATGTGTAAAATGCAGACTACAGATGAGCTCCAGACAAAAATGCAGGCTGCTACAGATTGAAATAACTAAAGTCACCTCTAATACTTTTGTTACTTTAGCCTTAGGAATAATGAGACAGTATTCTTTGACTACTGATCTGAATCAAAAACGTTGTGACCTATTGCCTGTTGATATTGTTTATTTTCTGAAACACTCAAACAGAATGATGACATCAAGCTACATCAAGACGAATGGGATTGAATCCGTTCTGTGGTATTGCGCGTTGCCTGCAGATAAAACCTTTTCAACTTCATTTCTTTGAGTGATCCACTAGATGCAAACAGCTGGAAGTGTGTATTTTTCTCTAGATTCTGCAATAACACATGTATGGTCTGTGGTCTGCAAGAGTACATTCGACTCACGAATCTCCCTTATGGAATGCGCTCGAAAGTGAAAGTGATTAATCATCATTTCCTGTATGATTCGCTCCT